TATGTTGAATCAAATAAAATATTTCTAAAGCTACAATTTGTAATGTCTACTTGATACTTTCTCATTTAACACAAAAATAGCTTTAAATGATCTTTTGTGGGTATTTTCACAGTCAAATTTATTTTGCAATTAATTAGATTAAAAATGTTAATCAACTGACAGCCCTAATATATATATATATATATATATATACACACATACAGACAGACAGACAGATGTAAATGTAAAAGTCTTTACTTTCACTTTTATCAATTTAATGCACCCTTGCTCAATAAAAGTATTTATTTCTTTAAAAAAAAAGCGTAATGATCCCAAACTTTTGAATGGTACTGCATGATATAAACCCTTTAATATAAGACATAAGTCAAGAAACCCCAGTACTGAAGCACTCCAGGATCACGCTCTAATGTCAGTGTAGACCACAAGTCAGTGCTTGATGGTGTAGTATCACCTTGAATAGGTGGATGTAAAGTTATAGCAAGATATTATGTATTCAAAAGAGGATGCCACATATATGAGCTGGAAAAGTACTTGACCTACTAAATACCATCAATAACTATTAAGCAAGATACTTTAAGCAAAATGGATGGAAGGACCTTGTCCAAAATTCTCTAATACAGCAGTCGTGATTCTGTCTTCTTCTCTTTTCTGTTACAGTCCTATACTGAGATTTTGGACAAGGCCTTAATGATATAAAATGAGTGGCTTAGTATAATGTCACAGGGGTGCTGTAGGGATGGGATAGCAGACATAAGGAGAGGGATGAGGCTGAGAGGGACGTGTGAAGGCAAAGGTTAGAATGGACTCATGACATTTCTTTCTTACCTAGAAATGTATGAGGTGAGAATGACTTATGCCTGTCACTAGGGCAGAACAGGAGGTAGAGAACAACCACAATCATCATTAATCATCAAACATGCAAATAATCCACAAACATTCATCCAAAGAAAATCAAAGAGACTGAGGAACGCTGAACAAAGAGACAATGAAGTAATTTCTTTTTTAAATTTCAGTTCAAGTAATGATCTAAATCCACACTGACCTTGGAATCTCCCTCCTCTTCATCATCTTCGTCCTCCTCATCTTGGTCCTATTTCACACAAAACAGAGTTAGTCTACATAACTGAACATAATATCATATAAAGCATCACTGATTTCAACTGTGAACTTTCATCAAACACTGATTCCTCAATTTATGTTCAAAATGTATACAGTGAACCCACCTCCTCTTCACCCTCATCCAGTTCCTCCTCTTCACCCTCATCCAGTTCCTCCTCTTCACCCTCATCCAGTTTCTCATCTTCACGCTCATCCAGTTCCTCCTCTTCACCCTCATCCAGTTTCTCATCTTCACGCTCATCCAGTTCCTCCTCTTCACCCTCATCCAGTTTCTCATCTTCACGCTCATCCAGTTCCTCCTCTTCACCCTCATCCAGTTCCTCCTCTTCACCCTCATCCAGTTCCTCCTCTTCAAACTGCATCAACAGACGCAAACGAATTAATGTACATAACAGATAATTGCAGCAACTCTGTTAAACCATAGATATCAGAAGGCAAGAAACAGTCATTTGAAAATACGTACACTTTCATCATCCTCCAGGGCTTCTCCAGTGAAATACAAAACTGCTCTCGGAACGATTCTTTCCCTGAAGAAATTACCGATGTCAAAGTCTGTGCCTAAAGTGTACTCCGAATCCTCATCCTGTTGAACACAAAGAAAGTGAGCACAACTTTTCTGATCATTTGAAGATAAAAAATGAAGTCTGATTATTTCTACTTCTCTGAAAAGATTCTCTAAACTTACTAACCACTCATGTCTTTCAGAAGAAATAATGCTGGATAACATCTTATTTTTCTGACTATGAAACACCCAAAACCTATCCTAAAATGTGATTTGGTGCTTAAGAAATATTTCTTGTTATTATCAATTATGAAAAACAGTTGATATTTAATATTAACTTAACATTTTTTGTGGTAACTGTGATACACCTTTTCAGGATTCTTTAAAGTACAGGAAATTCTAAAGAAGAGCATTTATTTAAAATAGAAATCTTTTTTTAGGAAACAAATGTCTCAACTGTCACTTTTGATAACTTAAATGTGTCCTTTCTGAATACAAATATACATTTCTTTAATAAAATTAAAACTGTAGCATATGTAAAAATATATAAAGCATATAATATATGAGCAATATCACTCGAGTACGAGAGCGATACCGGCTCTATATCAGTTGACAGTTAAACATACGTCACTTTTAGAATTCGTATCAAGGGCATGTGCTGCTTCAGTTACGTTATCAATCATAACTAGATAAAAAAGTTTCGTCAAGACAAACTTTAAGTTGGCTTGAAAAAGCCGGACCAGAAAGTTTGAAAAAGTTTGAAAAATTTAAAAAGTTTAAGAAGTTTAAAAAAGTTTTAAGTTTGATGGTTTTCAGTCTGAAGTTTAAAGTAGGTTTAAAAGCTTAAAGTTTGAAAGTTTTGAAGGCAATACAGTCTGTCAGAGATAGATAGATAGATAGATAGATAGATAGATTGAAGATAGATAGATAGATAGATAGATAGATAGAGAATCAGACTGAAGATAGATAGATAGATAGATAGATAGATAGATAGATAGATGCAGCTGCTAGAATATCCATGTGGTTGCTACGGTGTTGCTATTCGGTTGCTAGGGTACTCGGGGTGGTTGCTAGAGCGGTTGCTAGGGTACCTGGGGTGGTTGCAAGAGTGTTGCTATGCGGTTGCCAGGGTACCCAGGGCAGTTTCTAGGGTGTTGCTATGCGGTTGCCAGGGTACCTGGGATGGTTGCTAGGGTGTTGCTATTCGGTTGCTAGGGTACCTGGGGTGGTTGCTAAGGTGGCTTGGATAGTTGCTAGAGTGTTGCTATGAAGACTGATAGATAGATAGATAGATAGATAGATAGATAGATTAATACATAGACCCGGCTAGAACAAGCCGAGTGATACAAAATTGTGAAAGGGCGTTCCTGTAGCGATACCAGTACAATATCTCACGGTTCTCAACCAATCAGATTTGAGAACCAGAACGAACTGTTGTATAATATATTATAATGCTAAGATAAATACATAGATAACACACACTAAAAATACATAGATAAACCCAACTCACTTTGTCAAATAACGGCTGATAAAGCGCGTTATACTTTCTCTCCAGCTCATGCACCTCCTTGTATAACTTGGCTTCGATGTGCGTGTTGTTAACATGAAGATTCTTTAAGGCATTGACTCTTCTTTTCACAGACTTTGGTAAGCTGGAAGAAGTTGGGAGAGGAAGAGAAGACATTGTGTGAGCAGATGGGTGTCCGGTACTGCACAGCTGGACCAGTGCATTTCCCTGCTCTCTGGGGTCAACAGATGGGTTTGAAGTAAGAGCATGAGATACAAGATCCCCATTCATATCACATCGCAAAATGTGCTTAACCTCTGATAACTCAAGTCACACGCTTCATGCGTTATTATAGATTGTGCGCTGCAATCACTGAATTGGTTTGAGTTGGATTAAAAATAAAATGCTTTCTACCCAGCACCCTTTCCACAAGCCTTATGTTTGGTCTTGCAGTGTTCACGCACAAATGGATTATTGCTGTTTTGTGCAAATATTGTTGTCTGTGTCATCGTTTTCATGACCACTACAACTACAGCCAAACTCAGACAGCGAAGTAGCCTTCACGGGTGAGTGACCTCTCTCTGGGCATCGTCAAGCTGACACACACAAAGACATACAGTACATAGATACACACAGTACATAGATACACACACCATTAGGACTGACTTCTATGTTATAACCTAACATGCAGAGACAGATTTTAGGTTACAGGCAGATGGTCTGTCTGACTAGAGTTTTTCCCCCTTAGACGGACGGTTATATTACACCGGCAAGTTTGCCTCTCTACGTAACATGAGGAACAATAAAAATGCAATGTCCAGTTTTAAAATTCTACACAGGAAATATGAGACATATCCAGTTAGGAAATAGTTTTCTCAAGATAGGAAACAATAAAAACATGACAATGACCGTGCCATGACCAGAAATAAAAACAATGAGGTACAAAATTGATGTTTGCCCTGTTAGTCTCTTTAGTTCCAAGTTATTAGTTTGGTTTGTTTCATCTTTCAAATGTTTCATCTTGCTTACCTGTCCATGATGGAAGCATTATGTGAGACACTGTCTATTTTGTCCTGAACTGCTGCCAACGCTTGTGGGTTCTGCATCGCCTGGCCGCTCACCTTACCTGAAAATAACATGCCATCACCAGCAAAAAAAAAAAAATTAATCAATGGAAAAATGTATGACTATCAACTCTCAAAGAACGTTTATACTGCACACAGTCCTTTCCATAAACAGACATCCATCTTAAAGGAAGCATAACGTTCAGCAGCACAGTGAAACAGCACTATCGTTTCACCTTTGATATTGCTCTTAGTAAGTTTGTAAGATTGCACAAATTTCTCAAAAGAACCTATGAGACAATCTTTTCCATTAAATCCTTGGCAGCATGTGAAGTGAAGCTTCATGAAACTTTTACACTGAAACATTATACTGGCTTTTGTTTGAGAAGCACCCTGAATCCAAAAATAATTTACAAGACAATCTAAGTAACACATAAAATCATGTTCTCAGCCAGCTCATAAATGTGTCAGCATTTCAAAAGCTATACAGACTATACAAGGTATAGCTCATGTGAAAAATGCAAAGTTGCTAGTCAAAGAGAGTACCAGGAATTCATAGTTTCTACACCTTTGGCTTCATTGTCAGCATCCATTTTGATACCACAGCTCAAATATTCTGTGAAAAACACAAAACATACAACTTCAGCTTGTCTAAAATAACTTTTTTTTCTATTGGTAAAGACAAAATCACATATATTTATTAACTTGAAATTTTAATCATATTTCTTAAAAACAAAATGCATTCATATTAAAAACAGGTGATGCTTTGCACAACCAAAACAACAGTGTAATGAAGCTAAGTTACCACAATGCAGAGTCAGAAGTTAATAATTTAATTAGAATAAATAATTGCACCCCAGCATTAATTTTGAGGGGTATTTTTTAACCATAAAAACCAACGTGGAATACAGTTATGCTAAATATTTTTATTTGAATCAATTCATTGAAATAACATTGTTAGTAGTGCTTGCTTCATATTTAAGTTGATTTTATTATTATTATTTTCAAATCAAAATCCACAAGCTAGACATTTAACGTGGTAATTCCATAGTTATTGCTGTATCATTATTACATTACTAAAATAAATATTACTATTATACTACTAAAATAAAACAGGTAACTTGGTATTAGCGCCCAATAATAACAACAATATTAACAATAATTATTATAGGAATTCTAATAAAGAATAACTAATAAATATAGCTGCAAGCAGCGATGGCGGGCCCAAGTCGTCAGTGCAAACGCCACCCCGGTGGCATCAGGAGAACGGTGCACAGCGGGCACATGCATTTACAGTAACCCTCTGGCAGTCTGGTTTTAAGGGATACGGCAATTAAAGGGTTAATCCAAACCATCAAGACTGTGAAACACAAACATACAGAACAATATATAAAACTTTAGTAACACTTTACAATAAGGTTTCAGTTATTAACATTAACTATATTAACATGAACAATAATTATATAGCATGTATTAATGTCAGTTAATATTCAAAACTTAAACTGAGTTAAAAAAAGTAAAAAAAAAAAAAAGTTTTATCTGTTAACATTAGTTAATGCACTGTAAACTTACATCAACAAACATTAATAAATTCTGTGAAAATATATTGTTCATTGTTAGTTAATGTTAGTTAATGCATTTACTAATGTTAACAAATGAGACCTTAATATAAAGTGTTACCAAAACATTTAATGATTTACACCGCGTGCATAATTATTAGGCACTTTGATATTCTGATGATATTTTTTTCCAAGCACATTTTACCAATTCCAAACCACATCAATCTTAATAACTACTATTAATTTTGTATTTAATCATTTATGAGTGATATATAATTGTCCATGAAGGCTGGAAGAGAAAAAATCCTCATATTCAGATGTGCAGAATTATTAGGCAATTTTCTTTTACAGATGAAATGAGCCAAAAAAAAAGGTTTAACTCAGACTGAAAAGTCAAAAATTATTAAATCCCCATGAGAAATATTCAAAACTAATGCAATACAGAAATTGCAAAGTTAAGGCATGACCATTGGACAAAAAAAATGCATTCAGATGAATGTCATGTCACAGGATGTCATAGGTCAGTATCAAATGAGTTTCAAATTATTATTTGCAGCACAAAAAATGTATAAGTCCACATGTATGTATCTTTTGATCTTTTTATGTTGCAATTAACATAATTATTAAACTAATTATATAAAATTATGTTGTCAGTGCCCTACAAATTAAATGGTTCTAGGATTTTTTTGTCCCTAAAACTGACAGAAAAGGATAAGTCCTAAGAGATTTCTTAAGCTGTAATGAAAAAAAAACAAAAAAACACCAACAACAACAAAAAATTACTGATTCTTTTTTTTCTGGTGATTAAAGAGATGTTTAAAAGTCTCTCTCTCGCTCTCTCTCACCAACCCCCTCACTCACCCCCACACTCAGCCACCCTCCCCACCCCCTTCCTCACACAAAGGCAGAGTGGCAGAATGAGATCAGATATCTGAGTTTTTTAATTTTCTGTTATCCATAGATCTTTTCTACTGTTATTTTAATAAATCGCCACAGCAAAACCGTTCAAGCTATCCAAAATTCATCCGCAATTTAAGTTCCTCAATGTTTTGGCATCATGTAGACAAAGTTTGGTTAGCTTTTGCCAGTGTCTATCTATCATTAATACTGATATGTGTGTGGAGATTCATGAAATTCTAAGCATGTTATCTGCCTCAAAATCACCAGAAAATAATATTCAAGTTTGACACGTTGCCATGGCGGCGTTTTTAAGACCTGGGACAATCTTGCGCACTTTCTTCCTGTCGCGCGCACGCGCTCTCAAGTGGCAAAGACCGCAAGTGTGGCTATTTGGACAAGGGGAATGTATGTGGATGTTATTAGACACTTCTTGTTTCTCATTTCTCGCCATAACTTCATAGCCTCGCCACGAGCAACCCGTTCGAGATATAAAAAATCCCTTCGCAATTTAGCATCCCCCATGTCTTGAGATCATGTTCACCGAGTTTGGTGGCAATCGGTTGGAAACCCTCATAGGAGTATATCAAATTCCAGAGCATGCGCTTTTTACACAGCCCTGAATAGCCAACTTCCTGTTGGGCGGAGCCTATGACATGCAGCGTGAAATTTGTTCGGCTCAATGAGATCTATATGTGTACCGAGTTTCATATGAATTCGTGCAAGTGTGTGTGAGCTATACATCAAGTTTTCTGACTGTGTTCCAGGGGGTGCCGTTAGAGCCCCTGTGCCACGCCCGGGTCCCAGTCTCTGCGGCGTCCTGACCGCAGATTCCAATGTGTGTGCCAATTTTCAAGAGTTTTTGAGCATGTTAAGGCCCCCCAAAAGCCCCGGATAGTCGAAGAAAAAAAAATTCCTTAGAAAAACAATAAGTAACGAAAGTTTTTGAAAACTTCTTAACTTGAAAAGATCCCAAATGCATGTTTTATTAATTTACTCTTTTGGGGGAAACTTTACTTATGCTGGTAAGGCAAAGTCAATCATTCCTTATTTACAAGAATCGATACGTTTACATTTCTAATGTATAGCAAACAGCAAAACTACAAACATAAAAATCAGCAGTTTCAAGTAAAGGTACAAACAGATGTGTTTATGTTGACGCCCATCAGAGATACACTCTCGCTAGCAGCTAACACGCTAAATTTGGCACATCCAGATCATAACAGATTAAATCAGATCTCATAATCTCCGCAACCACCAGTTTAGCACAGGTGATGGCGGGGGTCATAACAGCGACAGAGGGCAGACACTGGATCATCTCCAAACCAACACTGAAGAAGGGTGAAATATAAATGTCACAGGCCAGCAGGCTCACAGACCCTCACAAAACACACTCCGGGGATGAGCTTGGACTATTTCTGCGGCGGTTAACAGGTTACAGGGTAATTGTTTGTTAAATGACCTGTAAACTGTAACAATTTGTAACAGTCACTCGCAACTTTATCAAAACAGATGACATGCAGTGAGAGCACAAGCAGCACACTAGTATCATACATTCGTTTACATTTCTAATGTATAGCAAACAGCAAAACTACAAACATAAAAATCAGCAGTTTCAAGTAAAGGTACAAACAGATGTGTTTATGTTGACGCCCATCAGAGATACACTCTCGCTAGCAGCTAACACGCTAAACTTGGCACATCCAGATCATAACAGATTAAATCGGATCTCATAATCTCCGCAACCACCAGTTTAGCACAGGTGATGGCGGGGGTGATAACAGCGACAGAGGGCAGACACTGGATCATCTCCAAACCAACACTGAAGAAGGGTGAAATATAAATGTCACAGGCCAGCAGGCTCACAGACCCTCACAAAACACACTCCGGGTATGAGCTTGGACTATTTCTGCGGCGGTTAACAGGTTACAGGGTAATTGTTTGTTAAATGACCTGTAAACTGTAACAATTTGTAACAGTCACTCGCAACTTTATCAAAACAGATGACATGCAGTGAGAGCACAAGCAGCACACTAGTATCATACATTTACAGCAAAAAAAAACAATCCACTCTGCTTGACGTAAACTAGATACTCATAATAGGCCTATGTATTTCAAGGTAAAATGCAAAGTAGAAAGTAATATTTTATTTAGGGAGATTGCTTTTCTTACCTGAATCAGCGGGTGTTGTTCAGCTGATGGACTCGGGTTGAATCGATTCTTTGATATGTATTGTTCAAAAGAATCGATTCTCTGAATTGAGTCGGATATCGGCGCTTCTTTTACGCCCTAATGTAAATACATTATTGGTCCCTGACATCAGTGAGTTTCATACTACATGCTCTAAGACCTTCCACAAGCTGTTTAGGCTATTTTAATTTCATGCGTCTTCGTTTTATTAATTTGTTGCAACCACGAATAAGATACACAAAATAATTTAGTACTTATATTATTTACATTTACATTAAATTATACAAAAAAAAAATCGCTCTTAAAAATGTATTGCATGTTTTAAGCACGTTTTATTTGTAACATTTCTGCCAAGCTGCTATTAAAGTCACATTCTGAGTCACTCACTCAGTAATTGACTCGGTTCATTCGTATTGATTCCGTGCTATACATGAAACAATTATTCCGTTCAATACCTTCACCAGGCTTATGTAAAGCTCTGTGCAGATGTTTTATCACTGTAAACTTAATATCTGTAGCTGTTCTTACAGTATTAGACTACAACTGTATGAACAAAACTTTTCTAGACAAGCCTTTATGGCAACATTTGCAGAAATAAGTTACCAGGGACAAACGAGCATCAGACATTATTCAAAATCCTTTTTTATTTTGGTATTTCATGTTCTTATAAAGAGTATGTTAATACTAACAATAATTGGTGCTCCTATGTATGCCTCTGTTTTTCCATTTGTCGTAAACCAACAAACCTGAGGTCCCTTCATTCCTGTATCATCTGAGATATTTTGATTCTGGAGGAATCATATGTATCACTAGCTGATGTGTAAACAGTGTTTCGGAAAAAAACACCTCTTTGACCAGCCAGATTTTAAAAATCAATAATGAAAACATTGCTTGATCCATTTCCACATTAACGGCTAAATATTTCTTACATACTTCATATAAACCACCAAACCCACATTAGAAAAGTTCTGATATACTTGCATCTTTGTTCTATGTGTGCAAAAAGCACATAATATACCCTTAATATCATAGTCATAAAATACCCCTCAAAGTCATGATTGCAGAGCATCAAAAATCAATTACCTTCCAACCATGACCAGAAGGAATTGGCAAAACCTTACCAAAGTTAAGAGCCAAAACTCACAGATGAGGTCTTTAAGTTTTGCTGCCTTTTCGCATACACAAGACAAGTTCACAACAGACAGTAAGGGCGGATGGCAGATCACGTCAGACTCAACACATGTTCTCAGCTCCCGTTCTGGGTCGACTGGAGGTATTCATTATTCAGCTTCTCTTGTGCCTCGTAAAGCTTGCGAAGCTTTTTGGTCAGTCCCTTACTGAGCTCCTTTCCCTCAGCATCATGCGTTGGGAAGCCCTGTATAAGCAAAAGACAGACATGCTATTAGGATTTCTGAATAAATGTGACCAAATTATTAAAAATTCATAAGGACTCATCCATCCTCTATAGACCAATAATCACCTTGAAATGGATCCAACATACAGTACATACAGTAGTGTGACTTAAACGAGTGTATCTTATGACAAAGAAGACTGAATGGTTTGCATTACCATTTCGTCAAAGATGGAGTACTTGTCCGTCTCTGACCGGAACATTTCACTGGGTTTAACCTTCATTTTTGCCAACTTTGCCATCTATGACATCAAATATACAAATATTTATAATACAAATAATTCCAAACAATGAATAAAGCACAAACAAGAATACACTTCTCTCAATGTATTTAAAAGTAATATATCTATCTCTCTCTCTCTCTCTCTCTATATATATATATATATATATTAGGGGTGCAACGGTTCTCTGTAAAAAATCGAACCGTACGGTTCTCCACACACGGTTCGGCATGCACTAGGACCGCGGTTCAACTTAAATCTGACAATGCATCTGTAATATGGTTTGTTAGAGTTCGGCTAATGCATGTTTCTAATGATGGATACAAATTCTGGCTTCCCAATACATTACAACAAGAGCGATGAGAGGAAAAAAAACCAATACTTGGATAAACTCACTCTTTGTTCAATGCGAGTGCTGTATGCTGGAATAACTGTCATTTATGCAGTGATCACGTGTTGATAACGCAGGTGAGACCTGAACAGCACACGTCGCTATCGGTGTTTAAACTAAACTCATTTAAGCTTTGCCAGTTTAAATATTAAAGAGCTAGAATAGCTCGCGCGCGCGCAGTGAGAAGATCTGTTTGGTGGCTCATCCAAACCGCGGGACCCGGCGCCTCGGCACGCG